ACACACACACACACACACACACACACACACACACACCTCATATTTTAAGCTGCCCAAGTCTGCCCATAGTCAAGACTCAAACCGTGGTCGACTATGTCCAAATCCAGCGATGTAACCATTACACCATCTGCTGGTTCTGGTATGATTCTTTTCTAATACAATTTTATTTACAAAAATGGAGCACAGTTTTCTGACCCCTGTATTTCAGTTTTTGTATTCCTTTTTTTAAATGTCATTTTAAATATATATGTATTTAATTTTATTTATTATTATTGAATTTGCTATAGGGCATATGTGATCACTGAAGAGATAAAGAAAGAGAAAGAATCAGACAGACAGAATGTGAAATAGCAAGCTGCCAGGTTCAGAGTCTAACCACAGAGAGTCCAGCACCCTAACTGCCATGCCACTTGCTGGCCCCTATTCTTTGTATTCCTGACACAAATTATTCTTGGTCAAGATGTTTTATCCTTTGAATATATTATATTCAGTTTGCTAGTATATTGTGAATTATTCTTACAGCTGTGTTCATCTGGAATATTGGTCTTTAATTTTATTATCTTATAATGGTTGGCAAGTTTTGATGTTAGATCTGTCCTAGCTTCACAGTCTTAGAGGCAAGATAATGCTTCTTGGTTTTCTGGAAGACTTTGCATAGAATTGCCATCATTTCTTCTTTAAATGTTTGATAGAATTTGCCAGTGAATCTTCTCATCTGGAGTTTTCTACTTGGGGAGGTTTTTGATGCTACATCCATCTATTTGTGACACAGAGGGCATTATGCTTCCTTAGTAGTTTTGGAACTTAATATAAATCTAATCATAGGTGTCTTATGTTTGGCATCTTCCCTTCCTAGAGGCTAAACTATTTGTTTATAGAGGGTTTATTTGTAATTCTAGATTTACTTGTGTTACTGCATGTTCATTAGCAAGCACAGATAAGCCATTTAAAGTAAGAAATGCCTGCTCATCATCTTTTGAACACCCTCCAAAGTGTTGAGAATTTCCCACATTCCAATTCCTGCTTTCCCATCCTCCCTTGCAGATGGCCCAGGCATGTGCCCATGACCCTGTCCATCAGAGTCACACCCAGGCCTTCCAGTGGGAAGAGAGCAGGAGAAAGCTCTTAAATAATCTTTGCTGGTTTTCAACACATCACTCTCTGTAAAGTTCAGGCACAGTATATTTATTGATTTTTTTTTTTTTTTAGAGGTTTTTGCCTTAGTGTGTGAGC